AGGCAAAAATAGTGCCTTCATGTTTTTTGTTTTTTCTTTATTCTTCTTTTTATCTTTTTCTTTTTTCTTTTGGTTTATGTTTAGGTTTTATAGTTAGTCCCTCCTTTTTTTACTTCCTTTTAGTTTTTCTTTCTTATTTCCTGTTGTTCTTTAGGCAAGGATTATAGAATCCTCTTGCTTAATAATTGAAAAAGAGGAAAAAACGAATTGAAGATGAAGCTAGGAAGACATTTTAGAGCTTGTCATGAAAGAAGGAAGATCCTTTCATTATGGACTTTAAGTAGTCAAATGTGTGGTTTACTTCTGCTTGAAGTAATGCGACAGGTTGCACTTAGGCGCCATTAGGGTGACCAGGTGATGCTAAACTTAGTTGTTAGGTAAATTTATATAATTGTAGCAATTGCAAAAATCTTAATAAAGTACTAGCATGATTGTCTATAGTTCAAAAAAAATAAAAATAAAAATAAAAATAAGAATTTTTATAATGCAAATATAAGTATGTAGCATAACAATACTTGCTATAATACTTATATTTACCTTTTATAATATATTATTAATCAAAATATATCATAATAGATAACACTTGTTCAGTATAATTAGAGATAAACAAGATAATAATATATGTAATTATTACCTATTAGTAATTATTATCTATTACATTTTGTGAATGTAATCTGAAAAGTAAATTTTAAGAATAATCGAAACTAAAAAGTAATAATATATTTTAAACTTGCCCATCTCTAAATATAATAAACTATATCAAGTATCAGTATAAATAATTAATTAATAATACTTTTATGATATAATAATTTTTAACCTTACTATAATATGTTTTAATTAGCAATACCTTATACAACATTCTTTACTTAAAGTTAAGTTATGCTCCTTATTAAGTAAATTGTTAGTTTGTACAGTTATGCGAGCAGCCTCTTTATTAAGCAATCATTTAGCTAGCATAACTCTTCCAGGAGGAGTATATCCTGGCTCAAGAAGATTAAGAAGATCCCAAACAAATGAATTATCAATTACCAAAAATAAGATTCCAGCATAAACAAAAGCTTTAAGTAAAGCTTTGTTAATTTCATTATTGTTTATTGGATACAGGTTCAAAAAGTTTAGAATATGAACGTGATGATTTAGATCTTATTGAAGAGGTTGATAATACACTTTCGTTATCACTATAGTCAATATCCTTTATATTGTCATTTCATTTTGCAACTTCAACTAGCCAGTGACGTCTTATTTTATCAAGAACATTGCCTTTACAATGCAGAGCCAAGTAGAATTCCATAATTGAAGGTTTGCCCTATTTTCATCTTTCTTTAGTATAGTACTGACATTTGGTGCCATAATGGCCTTTTCTATCAGATTCTTCACAGATAAAATCATTCCAAATATCAGCTCTTGAACATCCACCTTTATTCACTAATTTTTTTTGAAAACTTATTTCTTCATTTTGTTTCTCAATAGTCTTACTGATTTGTGATATATCAGAAATACTTTCATGTAAATCTTCCATTATAATGTTTGTTAATAACCACTATAAAAAAATACAAAATCAAAATCAAATTTGTTTTTTTTTTGTAAAAAATTTTATAAATATTTATAACAGTCATTTATTTTTTAATAAAAGTGGTTTAATTTACAACTAAATCGCTTTAATTAAGACAAGAATACAAATTTTTATAAATTTTACAAAGCAAAAAATTTTTAATAATCAAGAGATTCATAATTTATTTTTCAAAAAAAATGGTTTAACCTACTATCCTAAATGATTTCACATAAGCAGACCAACTATAAAAAAAACTAAATTATAAATTTTAATTATTAAACGCAAATAATACATCTTATCAAAAAGCCCTTTTTGTTAACCAAACAAGAAAACATTACTAACAGATATAAGGCAAAAATTAACATTATCAAGGTAATTATTATTATGCATGCTTATTGGTTGTTAGGTTTAAGATTATGATAAATGGTCGATGTCGATTTAAAATTAAGCAGAAATGTAATTACTCTTTTAGTTGGATTTGAATAACATCACTAGTTTGAAGTGAGATAATGGACAGTTGTATTATGAAGATTTAGATTACTGAAAGAATAACATTTTGCATTGTTCACTAAGAGAATTATCTTATGACCAGTTATCTTATTGTCAAACTCTTTAAGCCATAATGAAAATAATACACTTGTCATTCAGACTTTTTTACTTGTTCTATATGTTATGTCAAGCTTATTACGTTTGACATTTTTAAAGCAATATGGATTTGGAGACTTACTAATTACAAATAGTTTTATTTTATCTGTTTCATCAGCATTGGCACAAAGTGCCAAGGTTAACCTTTCCTTATTCTTTTTTTTACCCTTAAGACAAACAGTAGCAAGTATAGTATCTGGTTTAAGACTAAAAAAACAGAATTATAAGATAAGTACAGATTAGTGAACTTTATATATTATTTATTTCCTGTTATAGAGGAATAATATAGAGATTGGAATTGAACTTAATTTTTATATTCAAACTTATTTAATTTGAATTTGAATTAATTAAATCAATAATTCATAATAATTCATATAACAGTTGAATTTATTGATTTGCATATTGATTTACATAATTGTTTTAATTGTTAATAATTATTAGAACAGTTAGACCATTAGAATATTTTTATAATGGCTATAATGGTCATAACAGTTATAACTGTTACAATGGTTATAATAGTTATAATGGTTATAATTACTATAATGATATAATTGCTATAACAGTTATAACTATAAATAGCAGTAAAATTTAAAAATAGAAATTTTAATAATAAAAATTAAAATGTTCTTTTTGAATTTTACTGTAATGGCAATACATTGCCTATCTTGCATAATATCTATTTTTCACATAAATTTATATATGAATATTCGAATAAATTTAAATCAAATTAATTTGAATATTTAATGAATTAAATGTTCAATTCTAATCTCTAAAATAACAGTCAATTATTTCTTGTAATGGGGAATGAAGTTTATTATTATGATAAAACAAGCCAGTTTCATCTATATTATAAATATCTTTTAGATCATATCCTTTTAACACCTCTCTTAATTTAGGTATAGCATCTGCAATGACATCATTATCTACAGAAGCATCTTTATTATACTTTTTTATTTGTCCTAACTCATATCTTTTTTTAAATTTATATAATCATCTATGTGAAAATTTAAGGTTTCTATTTTGTATTTTTAATAATTTGGCAAATTTTTTTGTTTTTTCAATTAGAATGGCATTACTTAAAATAATTTGGTCTTGGTTTTGCAAAATCCATTCATGTAATGTATTCTTAAGATCTGGATGTTAAACTGTTCTTTGTTTTTTTTTAGAAAGATTATTTCCAATATCATCTTTATTTTTTATTAGATACCCAATGGTAGTTAGATGAACCTCAATTTTAAATTCTTTTTTTACCTACTCAGCAAGATCAATATTGCTAATATTAGGATGTTTATTTTTATGATTGATAATATCCTTTTTTTCTTTGTTATTAAGTATGGTTTTATTTTTTCACTTGCTAGAAGACATATTGTTGCCATCATTATGGTAATATATAAAGATTTATTTTATTGTTTTCTTTAAAAACACTTTAAATATATATATTTATAATTATAGGGTACCATCTGCTTAAAAATTCTTATACTGGAATTGATGCTTAAAATTCTGTGGTGCATGATTTTGGTTCATGTTAAAAAATTTTTATTACTTTTTAAATTGAATATAATACAAAAAGTATTTTTGGCATAGGCAGATTTATGTATTGCAAAATTAAGGATACTCTAATTTGTGAACTATGTAATGTATATAGTAACTTTAGAACTTTCAGTAATGTTATGCACAATGGCAGTATGAGTGTTGTTAAGGCAAAACCTGCCATTGGGCTTTCAATTATATTTGTACTGAACACAATTAGCCTAATTTATTAGAAATTGTATTTGGTGCAAAGTATAATTGAAAGCACAGTTTTTTCCTTACAGCACTCATATGTAGTACTCAAAATTTTTTATTAATCACATACTGGTTAAACTTTGCTCATTAATAAGATTACTATCTGCTTTATGCTATATTGCAACAATAGAAACTATTTAACATTGTCTAGCTAATATCAATTCCTCTTTACAGATATTAGTTACAAGTATTAATGAATGAAATAAAGGTAATCAGACTTTTTCATTGATGCAAGTTTTGAGAGTTATCAAGCACCTCACTTCTACATAGCATAAAAACTATTTTGGCATTGCTAAAAGTATTTTGGAATTGATTTTTAATATAAAATTGCTGAGTTATTTTTGAAATAATTCAGATATTTAATATTAAAAATCAATGCCTAAATATTTTCAACAACATCAAAATAGTTTATATGTTATATATAACCTTATTCAATGGGTCAAAAGCAGATGTTTAATTAATTGGGCTAAAAGTTGTATTTCATACAATAGATATTTAACAAAATTATTATTTTATTTAATCATTAACATTCTGATTATTAACAAATTATATCAAGTAAGCTGCCTGTGAACTATAACATTGTTATATTCGATTTGGAATTTTATTCTATTCAAGCTAACTAGCTATGAACTTGAGATAAAAATAATCAAATAATATAATTTAATATAAATAAAAATATAATTTATTTACCAAGTTTACAAACTAATATCAGGTGCATAATCAATTTATCAAGGTTATATATGTATAATACTTTATAAATACTAAACAATAATTGGCTAGTAGTCATATGTGTGCATTTATAGAAGGAGTTTAAATATAAAGGGCTAAAAAAGTAGCATGCATTTATAGAATATAGAATATGCATTTATCTATAAGGCCCATTGTGGGTCTAGGTATCTGTCATGCATTTAGAGAGGTGCTGCATTTAGAGAGAGTACATTTAGGGAGGTCTTACTGTATGTTATAATAATATCTATTTTTTAGATTCTATAAGGTGTTAGTTTTATTTCTGACATAACTAATTTAAAAAGTTCAGTATAGTATTCTAAGATCCTTTTTCTTTAATGATTTTGATGCCCTAGTTGATATATGTTTTTTATACATATTTTCATTTAATTTATCTTAGCTGCTTCTTCTAAGACTTTCAATAGTCTAGTAATATTATTAAAAGTTCATACTATCTTTTTACTTGAAATTTCTAAGTAGGTTTTATGTTTTATTTCTTAATATTATATGCCTAGTAGTTTTATTATAAGTTTGTACTAAGTCTTATACAACATTAGTTATCTAATATTTTTATATATATATGTAATATTACACTTTATATAGATGCTTTGAGCTCTTATTCAAAATAGTACTTTTAAGATTACAGATTATTTTTTCAATCTAACTAATTGACAAAATTCAGTTATTATAATATAGATATAATTTTCAAATTTTATTATCTATAAGATTTGAATACTAAATCTATTATTTGAAAATTAATAACCTGTTCACTTTATTAGAATATCATATTTTTTTAAATAAGTTTATTTAAAAAATCAAATTAGATTATTTTAATAAAAAAAAGTTATATATAAATAAATAAAGATATTTATTTTTAATATATATTTAATTTATTTTTATATTAAAATAACTTATTTTTGTTTTTTAAATAAATTGTTTAATATTTAATAATAATTATTTTAAAATTAAAAAATAATTATTATTGAAGTTATATCTTTAAAATAAAATTTTAACATAATTTTTAGCTAAATTTTTTTTCTTATTTTATATAATTACAAAATTTAATTTTAAGATATTTAGTTAAGTTAAAAAAGATTTTTAGTTTAAAATTTATAATAAATTTATATTTTTATTATAAGCTTATTATAAACAATATTTTTAAAAAAATGTTTATATAGAAGTGTAACAACTTAGTAAAGTGGATAAGTTGTTAACCTTCCAAGTGCTAAATAGTGAGTTCAAAACCTACTAACAGTAAAAATTTGGATAATTATCTATGTAATATATAAATAGTATTATAGTGATAATATTTTGTTGATTAGTTAAGATAAAATACAGTTATACCAGCATAACTAACAAGTTATGAGACATTTGTGCAATATTAAAATTATATAAAAAAATACAAACTAGTACTAGGCAATATAAATCTAAGATAAGTTCTTGTGATCATATAAATCTATAAAACTAGAAAACCAGAGCTTACTTAGAAAGACCTAAGTAAAAAAATAGTATGAATCTTTAACAGTACTACTATAAAGACTAGATCTAAGAAATGAATACTAATATAAAAGGAATTGGGTAGACAAGAATCTCAGATGAGAGGTACTACTAACCAGACTATTGAAAGTCTTAAACTGAAGAAAAATAACCTTAAGAGACAGATCTTGAGGTACTAAAGACAGATTATAATTTTTTTAGACTATCTGAATTGGAAGTTTAAGATCAGAAGCAGAAGTTTACTATAAGTACTAGAAATATACTATAAAGTTAATACTAGAATTTGAGTAAACTCTACAAGAAAGATCCCTGTTAACAAAAATTAAATATAGGTAATTAGTTAGTAAAAAGGCCTTTTGAAATCTTACAATTAGGTAATATATTCTAAAATATATAATAACTTGACAAATGTATAGAAAAAAAGTTCAAGGTTAGGTTAAATAACACTTAGGTGTATAGAAACTTGTGCACTATTTGTTAGTATAAGTATAGAGATCAGAGTATTTAAATAAATAATCTTATAGTAGATTGCAAGTATGAAAGCTAGTATAAAACCTGCTGTGCAAGCAGACTACTTAAAATAGATAACTAAAAGTTGTATATATAACTAGTTGTATACTTACCTTGTACACATTATGTAATTATAATTAAAATACAATAAAGGCAATAACCACCAATAACCATAGCCTTAGTAAAAGCAAAAAAAAAAAGGTTTATGCCTGATATTGCAGATAAATACTGTAATACATATTTGCAAACAATATTTAAAAAAACATTATATTTATAATTATTATTATAAATTATCTTTAATTTTTAATACTTTTCAGATTACAATTTTTTATTTTTTATATTTTTTATTTTTTTGCTTTGTTCATTAGTTTATTGAATTTTCTGAAAATTTTATTGGTCAAAATTTCCTTATGTTTTGATCTTACTCAGAAGCACCAACAAAATTTCACTATTATGTTAGGTTAGGGTTAGCATTTCTAATAAAATAAAAAACTAGTAAAAGTTATAGTAAAATTGTTCAAGGAATTTTTTTTTGTTAGAGCGCAAAAGGTGGTTTCTTACGCAAATTTTTGAGAAATAAGCGATTTTTGAAAAATGAGCATTTTTATTTTGATCTTCCTGATTGTGTAACGTTACATTAAAACGAGACTCACTATTGGATGGTCATCACGTGAAAGTGAAAATTTGTTGGCGCATCTGGGGTAGTTTATGTTTTGGAAGATCTATAAACATTTTAAAATCAAAACAAATCCTTCTATTGCTATCGCTATTAATTTCCTTTCTAAAAAAAATGAATGAATGCCTGGAATATTCTAATACATATAAATTAGAGAAAAATTTTGCATTTATAGTGCTATTATTGGTAAATTAAATTTTAGCAATAGTTTTGATCAAATTAAGCGAAACATTAGTAGAACATGTAACGGTTATGGATTATCAAAGTCGAAGTTCAAGGAAGTATATATTTTATTACTTTCTATTATATCTTAGTGATGATCAAATACTTTAAACATGATATAGAACCTTATTTACTCCTTTGTATATATTTTTTGTTTTATGCCCCCCATAGTTTCATATATACAATTTGGAGCTTCGCCTTAGTTTTTTTATATATACTGTATAATATGAAGCTTCGCTTAGTTTTCAACTTAATTCTTCATATATATACTTTTTTTTGTGCCCCTCCATATGTTTTTGTATATATTATGGGCCTCGCTTTAACTAATATGCATGTGAATTGTATAATTATTTTATATTATGTTTAAAGTTATTAATACTGATAAATATATTTATATATTTATTTTAAGATTTCGTAGACAGGGCTAATATTAATTCTATTAAAAATTAATAGTGATGAATTAAATGAATTTTGGAATATAATCAAGAAAACAAAAGAAACAAATTTATATACATTATATGGCGTATATATTGAACGTTGTGCAAAAAATTTAGGGTTTTATGATCTTTTAAATCAAACCATTTATGAACTGATTGAATTTATTAATGCTAAGAAAATAATTCTAAAGGTAATTAATTTTTTTGACAAATTTTTAACATTTATATTAATAAGATTATATAAAATTTAAGTAGTAGATCGCAGTTGAAGGGTATAAATTTCATAGTAAAAATCGGCGGAGAATTACTATTACTTTCATATAATGTTGGAATGCCGAAAGCTTCTGGCATTATGTAAAAATCATATAGTTTAAAGGAGAAAATGCTAATAGCTCACGATCTACCAAACCAATTTGAATAAAATTATCACTATTAGAACCTAAATGACTTATTTTATAATCTTTGTTAGAAACTCAAAGAAGGTTTACTTGGCATAAAAAAACTTTTCATTGTAAGCTAGCTGCATTCCAACCCTATAGAAAATCCATATTAACTTCGGCAATTTTTACTATTAAATTTGCTATTTTTATACTTTTTAACCACGATTTGCCTCTTAACCTTTTATTAGCTTCAAAATATGGACGTAAACCCAGTTGCAACAATAATTAGTCAAACCTTTCACAAGCTTTCTATCGGTTCAAATGATCTCCTCTTGTCTGGAATATTAGATATTGAAAATATAATTATTCAGCATATACAAATTATAGAAGAATTAGAAAAAAAGAATTTATAGAATACAGTAAACGAGCAAATTCAACATGTAAAATTAAATAAAAAATTAGTTGAATTTATTTTAGAAATACAACAAAATCCATTTATATTTTCTAACACAGAAGATTTGATCATGTCTATGTATGTATACGTTTTTTATATATTTTTTTATTACTATTAGATGCAATAATGAGATTTTTATTTAGGTTAAAGTTATGGAGAATCCCAGAATATATAACGCAAAGTCCTTTGATAAATGAATCAACCTGGGAATAATAATGTATTAGATCCTATAATCAAATATATTACTTATGATTTAGAAGATGATATATTTATTAGATGCTAAGCTAATAACTTAATTTAAACAGGGATACCATAACAAGCAAGGCAAGTCAACGACGAAATGGTTCTAAAGGTCCAATAAAGAAAAATGATATATTTGGAGTACATAAAAATAACAGTTATGAATGGGAAGTTCTTCTCGGAGAAGTTTTTAATGGACCATTTATTAATACAACACAAACTCAATCACATATATCAGATGACTACGATAAACTTGGAAAATGTGTAAAATATGCATTAGACGATGCTTTAAATTATTTTAACTTAAATTGCTCAATCAAGACTCGGAATTTAAAGACTTTTAAGGAGATCAATACATTTTTAATTCATGCCCATGGTCTGCTACTATTTTTTGTCTCATAATGCTATACGTATATATTTATTAAATTTAATAACCGTAGTTTTTTAGGAATATTCCTGGAGCTTTTTATTTTGAATCAAGAATTTGAGCCTTTTTATCGGTTGAGAAAACTATGTAAGATTTCGATTCCGTGTAAACAAGGCATAATTGGTGGTATCATCGATTTGGTTCAGAATTTACAAACATTTAGAGATATGTTAATTCCTAGTTTAAACAAAATCAAAGAAATTAATCATTTGTTTAAAACGAAGCAGCAATATGATGATAACAAAAAGAATGACTATATAAGAATTCCAACTCTAAATACACCATTAAAACAATAGAACCTTACTTAAATAAATTATTGAAGTTCTTTTAAAAAACATCGATTAAATTCTATCAATTTCTTTTATAAGGCTATTTCAGTCAGATTATTTTTAAATGGGCGATTGTTAAAATTCTCAATCTTTGGGTGAAGAATTAATGCTATAGTTTTGGATTCGAGTTTGAAACCAGTTTTTTTCTTTGTAACGTTACCTAAAAGTTCAAAAAAAAATTTTAAAATATGTTTATATAAAATCAAAAGTTCTTCGAATTGATCCTACGTTTTAAAGATGCTTTTTCTTTTCGAAGTACTTTTATTCATATTCGCGATAAATGAAAATTTTGGGCTTCAGGATTATCAATGGTTAGATATTTTAAAAAGAGAAACAGAAAAGGAAAGTTGGATGAGTAAGAGAGGAGTTTTACGAACAAATTAAATTATTAGTAAAGAGTGACGCACGGGTTGTTACGTCAGACCCATCGCTATAACATATAAACTAAAGTAATAATCTCTACACACTATATATATATATATAATTATATATCATAATATAATTGGTAATATTAAGGGTGTTACAAATACATTTTTTCTTATTTTATTAATAGCTTGCTAAGTATTAAACTAAACCAAATGAATTTTAAATATAATTCAATGAATGGCTGTCTTGTTCTTTAAAATTCAGATTATATATGCTGTAAATCCTTTCAATATTTTCAACAATTTAATAAAAACAATTACGTATGCTATTCAATTTAGTTTTAACTAATTTTTGACATAATTTAAATTAATTTTTACTATATCGATATCCACCGATTTTGATTTTTTTCGATACAGTTACGCGAACTATCACTAAGTGAACTAACGAGCGAAACACTCAACAAAGGAGCTTTATTTTAGTCTCATATGAGATAAATAAGAAATAATTTAAGAAAAACAGCCATGTTAAGCTGTAAAAGAAAGCATTATCGCTATTTTTTGAACCGTTTGGGTAGTCTGTCAAACGATCGGTTGAATTATGGGTAAGGATGAAATCAGGAAAACGGCACTTTAAACTTACTTATAATTAAATATAAGATATTACAATTTTCTATGTACTTCATTGTGGATTCAAGTAAGTTTAAACGATCGTTTTTATAGGAACCCACTTTCTATATGTAATTCTTTATGATTAGCTGATTTAGGGGTCAAACAAAATTAATTTCACCATCTATACTTGTAATAACGCGCATTTCATGAATATGTCTGGATTTATAATATAAAAAACAATCAAACTTATCGTTAAAAAAATTAACTCTATCTCAAAATAACGAAAGCGTGAGTACTCAAAATAGCGGTTTTACGGTAGTTGCTTTTTATAATATCATAAAGAAAAAAATTAAATTTCAATGTTTTCCTGTTCAAAAATTCTCGAGCTTTTACATGGTCATTCAAAGCTGCCAGCTTTAAATAACTTAATCGGTACAAATAGTATTGCCCTATATATATGCATATATTTTTTTTACATTATCTATTTTCTTTTGATAATTTTTATTTTTTTTAGTCTAAAAATAAATCATCGTTATAATCTTAACATTTATACAGCTTTTAATATGTACTTATAATCAGAACCTGAAGACTATTTTAAATATATAGGATTTTGAATTCACATATAACAAATATAGAAGTTTAAATTGTTTCAAAATCGCAGTCATTAAACCAATTTCAATTTATATAAATTAACCGGTTAACCAATTAACCATAAATTTACTCTTGGTAGGTGGGTTGCCGGATAAACGGGTTAAACTTTTAGCAGGTACGTACCGTGGGTTTTGTGAGCCCCGGGATAGGGGGCTTTACTTGGAAGTCAAGCCCTTACACAAACGAGTAGAGTTATTACCCGGTCTTACGGTCCATGCAGAAGCCTACCAATTGCCAAGCAAAACGATAATCTTATTGTACCAGTTAACGTTAAGATCGGTTCAGTTACCAATTGATTTTTTTTTTTCGTCCAAACAATTTGACAAGTTTACTAACATTATGTTAATCGTTAAAAAAAATTTTTTTTATAACTATTTGAAATGTCATTTTACTAATGCTTGTCATATTGGCACCATTTTATAAAAACACCGATTAATTTATGTAATATCATAGCCTAAGACTGGTATAATATAAATTTAAACCATCATTTGGCAGCACTCGAATAAAACATCAATGTAAATATTGATTATATATTTACACATATATAACGATAGTAAAAATACCTAGTAAAAATTACTGCTTTCTCTAAACATAATCTCTCTATAAATGCTTTACCCAAGAATGAACGATTAGTTTTAATATTATATTAGTATAAAAGTAATCATTTTTATTAAATAATTTTGATGGTTACATGATTCTTTAGGAAATTCTATGGCTATATTGACTAATGTATGATTATTTGAGAGGATACAAGGAATTGCGGATCAAGATAATTTTATAAATCAAGAAAAATATATACAAATTGGTTTGGAAAAAATTAAGATTGTTCTTTAAAAAAGAGTAAAAATCTAAAGATCTATTAGAGACAAGGTAAATCAAATAATTGACACAGTTTTATCTTCATAAATTGGAATGTATAAGTTTTGAAAACATTTTTTCTTGAGGCATCCATTACACAATTGCCACAAAAATGTCTTTCTTTACACCAACCACATTTTATCCAAAATTCATCCCAATATTTATATTTTGTACCACAACCGACACATTTCAAAGTACAAGGTTCGCATGAAGGATCAGAGCATGACCGAAACTGAAATATTCCATCGTTTGTATCATCTTTTTTACTACAAATTACTGGATTTGTGAAAGAATTATTTGTACCAACATGTTGCAAGACATAGTGCGCGTTATTTTGATTTCCATGACACAGATTGATACTTCTCATATATCGTTTAACATTACAAAATTCTTCGTGTTGTTGTTGGTGATATTTTAAAAGTTGTATATTCTCTAAAACTTTTTTTATCAACAATGAATGCCTTTTTCCACCAATACATCTCGTCATCACAATTTTTTTTAATTTTTGTAATTTTCTCTTTTTTGATGAGAGTACACCATCTTTTTCACAAAACTCTGCTTCTTGATACCAATTCTTCATAGCAGTCGTTATTGGTAATAATTTAACTTCTTTACAACCTAAAATATATAAATACTGAAGATTTTCACAATTTTCTAATATGGAAATCACGTCTTCAGATTTGATTTGCGGATCGTTAAATGTGAATTTACGAATAAATGAGAGTTTATTGGTTGATTTAAGATGAGAAAATATTTTGACGAATTGATCATGTGAAATTGATGGAATAGACACGTGAGAAAATGTAACCTCATTGGAGAATGATAGGTAAATCATCCTGCACGTTGAGCGAAGTGCTAGAATTGAAAGAAAGTCCAAATCTTTGCCGATGATGTAAAGAATATCATCTGGAAATGAAGCAAGAGTAACCGTTCCTGAAAATTTATTACTTATAACAGAGCGACACATCTTTATTTTTTTGGAAAAAATTGGGTTCTTTTATCGGTGACTTCTCAGAAAGAAATGGCAAAGATATTAGGAAATAAATTTTTTTTGTAATGTATCAAGGTTTTTTATTTATATTATTTTTTTTGTTCAAAATTTGAAAAGTGAGAAGTTTTTTTTTTCTTATTCGAAAATTGGAAAGTGAGAGATTGCAGAAACCAGATTGCTTATATATACACATTAATAACTTAATAACATGTTAGAGTTTTTCACTTATGCAAATGAAAGATGAAACAACTGTATTTGTTCTACTATTTCTGTGTATTGTTTATCAACAGTTCAAATATCAAAAATATATTGCATACTGTACATATGACGAAAGTCCACACAATTTTGTTAAAAACAATTGATTTTAAGAGGCGTTTACTTACAGACACTGACCGTTACTCCACTTATGCATTGTTTTATATGCACGCATAAAATTAATTATCGAAAGATGGAGATCCAATAAATTTACAAGATTTGGGGACTTTGACCAAGGCTTTGCATACAAACAAACCCATTACATCATTTCCTATTTTGCTTTACGTTATATATATTATATAATAAACCATCGTTTTGACTAAAATCTATATAGTCATTATAGTTTTGTAATAACAATAAATTACGAATTAGTTTCACTAAATTCACCAAATTCATTGATAGAACAAATAGGATCATATATACAGATTTAAAAGTAAGTTTTTGACTTATATACTGTCCAAATAACTTAACTAGAATATACAGTTTGAATAACCAGATTTAAATATTAATATCTTTATCTTTTCTCATACACAAACAAAATAATTCATTTGAAAGTATATATCAGGCATATACAGATGAATATCATGTATAATGAATATTTTATATCCATAAATATGAAATTTATGAAATTTATGAGTTAAATTGGTTATTAGCGTTAATTCATAAGCTGCTTTACTGAATATTGCATAAAGTTTCATTTAATTGTTGTTGATTTTAAATTTCTATGTATATATGCTATAAAAAAATTTATACAACTACTATATAAATTTATTAATACATTTACCATACACTAAATAGACCTTTGAAGTGAATTTCTTTCCTCAAACAGAGACACTTTATATCAATGAGTTTAAGCAATTAACTTCCATTGTGAATCTTTAAAAAAGCAACGTGCAATGAAACTTTATCAAAAATTGCACGCATGTGATTAATTAGGAAACAGAATACCATATTTAACATTTTAGATAAATTCGGTGTCAGTGCATAACAATTGATTGTGCGTATTGGTATCAGTACGTATGTACTGTATTGAAAGAAAAACGCCTCAATTCAAATATCTCATTGTGTGTTCAATTATATATAGAATCGATGTTCAGGATTTATAAGGTAATATTTACAATAAGATGTAAAAAACTAAAATTAATCTTTATAAATCACAAAACTAATTCAGGTTCGGCAAAAAGTTTTAAAATATTTAGAGTTTTTTTTAAGTTTTGCGATACGACATTTTGCAATATATTGCATTTCGGTCATTGAGCATGTAAACTATGTTTAGATTACCCACACTCTTGAAATTTTATTACCTGTTACAATATGTCAAAGAGAAGTCACCTATGCATAGTCGAAGCTTGGCTTCAAAAACATTTATTTGCAGATCTTTTTGCTCACCTATTATTAGTACATTCTGTTATACTTCAAAATCAATAAATAATGTCTATTTCTGAAACGAATTCATCCGCATAATGCGGTAATAAATGTTCATTGGTTTATTTAATCTTGAATAATATACTGCGGCAATAGTGTATTAGGTCATGCAAAATTAATTATTGGTTTTCATAACTCGGCTGCGTCAAAAAAATATTTTAATAACTGGTAAGTTTTGAAAAAAATTTTAAAAAAATGATTATATATGAATTAAAAAAAAAACTCGACCGGCCGGGTTTATTTAAAAGTTCCATGTTATAAAACCAAGATATTAAATTTGTATAGCCTTACATTGCACGACTTAAACGTTAAAGCATCTGATTTGACCCTTTTTTTAAAAAAAAAATTGAGATTTGTTGTTTGTTTAAGCTGATTGGTTAAACTTTATTTACTAGAAAGATTTTTGAATATAATTCTAAACATGCAAATTATAAAACATACGATATAACTTGTTTTAAATTGATTTTTTTTTTATTTTTTAAAAATTTTAAGTAACCTCTTGGGGCCGTGGATTTTATTACTGCTTTAGATCACGGGGTTGCTATAAGGAGTCCCAACATCTAGTATAACGATGAGAGTACAACTAGTCACATATAACTTTTGGTTGTCTAATTTAAGAAGTTCATTCAAGGGTTCTATACTAGTTGTCATACTTACAATTTAACTAGTTAGTTTTTTGTTTAAATTCTCTAGTCTTATTATATTGTTTATTAAAGTTTTTTAATTTTATTATAATATTCTATTATATAAATTAGTCAAAAGGTTTGATTCCTTTTTAGAACTTAATAGTCTAATCTTGAAATAAGCTTGTTTGAATAATTTATGTCTTACATACTGTATATATTATTTATATTTTAGTAACTTGTATTATAGTTGCTTAATACTTATAATAATTGATTTTTAATATAAATAGACATATATATTCTTTGCAAAAATTTGTCAAAATTAAACTTGCTAAAAATAAACATTTTAACAGCACTAATAATGTACTAATAAAATGCAAACTTTTGTAAATATAAGCATTTTATTACTATTATTTAATTTTATAAATATATTTGTTAATTATTATACTAATAAAATGTTAATATTTAAATAGGTAATATAGAAAAGTTACATATATAGTCAGTTGTACACTTGTCTAATAGTTCATTATAGATACGTCTATATAAAACATGTACCTACTATAAGTATTAATAAAAAGCTTAGACCAAAGAGGTTATCTTAATACTGAAAAAAAATAAAAAAAAATAAAAAAATAAAATGCTAACATTAGTAATATATTATCAATATTTTAGTAATAATAAAGACCTAAAAATTACTACTATTAAACTAATTTATTAGATATTTAAAAGTACTAATAATAAAATAATTTTGTAATAAATTATTAAAAATACTAACTTAATACCAATAATGTACTTTATATTGCTTATTATTGACAAAAAATTGCATATCTCAAAATTATCAGATTTTTGCAATATTTATATAATTATAATATTACATATATATAAATTCATTATTTTATTAAACTAAGTTTTTTAAAAATCATTTATAATATTTTTAAAAACTTATTCTTAAAATTTACAACTAGTTTATTTATTTAATTAGATTATTTATATTTTTTTGTTTACATTACTATATTTTATTTTACTTATATATCAACAAATATAAAGTAATTATTAACTTAGTTTATTTATATTTTTATTTAAATTATATATATATAATTATTAATTTTACATCGATTCTATACCCTCTCCGCTGATCCTCAATTTCTAAACAAAGCCAAACAAACATAGTGGAAAAACAAAAAAACAGCTCTAGAAACTCC